TAGCAAGTTTATCTTATTTATTCTGTCCATTTTCTTCCCCCAAACCATCAAGATACATCTGGAAATTACACTTCTAGAAATATGTATAGAAAAGTAATACCCATGTACATGTATTGATAGTAAGACTGGCTCAAAATTTTGTTTAAAATAGTGACAGCATAAATGTCCCACAACAGAGAATATTTAATGGATACAAAGATGCTTGTGATGGTTATAAAGAAGCAGTTTACAAAAGTGTGTACAATATGATTCCTCCCTTTTAAGGGAGACACATAGAGACAGAAAGAACTGGAAGGACGCACTGCAAGAATTCCATAATGCTGTTTCTGCGAGGGAAGACTTGACAATTATAAGACCTCTGTTTTCCCTTCCCCCAAACCCATTTACTCTTCCTCTCTTTTTTGGATGACTTGTATTTTCTACAGCAATTCTGTCCAATAGAAATGTGAGACACGTAAGTACTTTAAAATGTTCTAGTAGCTACATTTAAAAAGTAAAAAGAAATTGATAAAAATAATATATTTTGTTTAACCTCAAAATATCCCAAATATTATTATTGTAACATGTAATCGACATAGAAAATATTAATATAGTTTACATTTTTAATACTCAGCCTTCCAAATCTAGTGTGTATTTTATATTCACAGAATATCTCAACTCAAGCCATCCACATTTCGCGCACCCAACAGCCACGTGGTTTCCATACTGGAAAACACAGCTCTATAAAATAATTGCTGCTGCTGCTGCTAAGTCGTGTCAGTCGTGTTTGACTCTGTGCGACCCCATAGACGGCAGCCTACCGGGCTCCCCTGTTCCTGGGATTCTCCAGGCAAGAACATTGGAGTGGGTTGCCATTTCCTTCTCCAATGCATGACAGTGAAAAGTGAAAGTGAAGTCGCTCAGTCGCTGAGACTCTTAGCGACACCATGGACTGCAGCCTACCAGGCTCCTCCATCCATGGGATTTTCCAGGCAAGAGTACTGGAGTGGGGTACCATTGCCTTCTCCAAAATAATTGCTAACATTTATCAAGTGCTTAACACATGTACTGCTTCAAGCCCACTGGGTGAGGATTATAACTAATTCAATCTGACAATAACATGATGAGGTTGTTTTGCTTATTATTGTCTCTGTAAGCACACATTACTGTTGTAACATCACCATGATAAAAGTTTTGGAGCTTTTACAAGGCTTATTCCTAATACGATGGGGATGGAAGCCAGGCTATAAAGGCTTGCAGAGTCAAGAAGGAAATGAGGGAGCTGAAGAGGGACAAAAAGTTATTTAAGACTTAGCTGGTGGTGAAGAAGAAAAGTTAACAGGGTGAGGGAAACACGAGGGCAGGGAGACATGAAGATGAAGTAGGCTGAAGAGGAAAGAGGAAGATGGAAGGCCAAAGGCAGATGACTGGGGATGTTTTGGACCAATGTCTCCACAGACAACTCCACCCTCCAGGGGAATGCTATGACTGAGTGGCAAGAGGTGAGGGGGGGGGGGCGGTGCGGGGATGGTTCTCAGAGAAGTTGAACTGAGTTACGAAGAATGAAATCAGCCAGCAAAGAAGCAAAAAGGGAGAAGATATAGATTTGAGAAGTACTTGACCTCAAGACCTGGTGACTGATAGGATAAGGAGGATGTGAAAGAATGAGGATTTGAGGATGATCCCCAGGTTTCCTGCATAGGCAAAGGCAGACAGTGTAACATTCACTGAGTGCCTCTCTGGAGTCAGGCATTGGTCCTGGACATCACAAACTTACATCATTTAATCCCTACAGAGGCCCCACTAAAGGCTTACCATTTCACAGATGTGCAAGCCGAGGCAAGATTGTTGGCCCCAGGGCTCACCATTGGTAAATGGATGAGTCAGGACTTGAGTCCAGTCTATTCCAGAGATGGAGAGGGGAGAAAAGTTGATATGGGGCTAGAACTAGGACAGATAGTTCAGGTCTTATCCTCTGAGCAAGCAATCAGGCTCCTCTAAATAAAGTGAAGTACTGGGTTTGGGGAGATGAGAACCCAGAGAAGGTGCTGGGCTTCTGGCAGGTGTAGAGTAAAAGGCAAGCAGCCTGCAGATGCGTGGGACTATAAGGTGCTCCAGCATGAGGGAGGCATGATTAACGTGGGGGCTCCTGCAGAACTCAGCAGCCTGAAAGGGAGGACGGGGAAGTGGAGGGGAAGGGCTGGGGAGCAGAGGTGGAGGGGGGCGCTGCACTTTTGAGTTATGGTGGGCTGCTGTCCACTGGTGAGGAGAGGAAGCAATGGGAGAACTGTGGGAACTTTGCAGGGACCAAGCAGGGAATCTGGCACAAGAAAAACTTGGGGCGTGGTGGAGGGCATTGATGCTGGATCCAGAACACAGTGGGAGACTTAGAGACCTCCTGAAGATAAAAATTCTTCTCTTAACCTACTGCAGCGGAGGCAACAAGGGGGAAAGAGGCCCTAAGAGCAATGGAAATAGAGGAAATCAGGTAAGAGATAAGTATCTGCCGAGGGAGGGAAGGGAAGGAGGGAAATTATGAAATTACAGGAAAGGAAGGTGAGAGAAAGGCACAATGCGAGAGGTTAAGGAGAGGGAAAATGAAGGTAGAACCCCCTTCACTCATCACAGATCCTGTGAGAGTCCAGCTGCAGTGGCGGGGGTTGGGGTAGAATGGGGGCAGAACCTGATCCAGGCCAGGCCCACTGAACTGTCCCACCTCAACCCAGACCACCACCAGACTCCAGTCACGGGTCCCGTGCAGTCCATTTCTTCATCTGTAAAAAGGGTTAATGACAGACAACTGGTGTCCAAGTATCTGGAAAGCACAACAAGGGAAGGAGTTGTCACTATAAAGGTCTATGGATTTACATAGGGAGATGTATGCCCAGAGCTAGATGAGGAAAGTCCACGTGGCCAGTGTAGATGTGTCCAGGAATGGCCCAGTAGATCCCAAGCTCCTCTACCTGCCCTATTTAGTGAGTTCAGGGGTCAGTGTCCGGCCTTGCAGTGAGGTAGGAGGTGGAGGCCTGCAGCTAGACAGGTGAGGTTCACCACCGGCTAGGGAAACAAAGCCCGGGCCCGAGTTCAGCCCGATCCGGCTCCAGTCTTCTCGGCCACAGGCCCAAGCACTTAGTCCCTCCTCGCGGCATTCAGAGAACAGGCCCGGCTGATGCTTATCCAACTAAACCTGCCTCCCTGCGGGGACCTTGCTCCAGCAAAATCCACGTTGTCTCCTTCCACATAGAACGAAAATCTAGCTTCCATGTCTTTGCCCAGCTTCGCACCCTCACCACCCCAGCGATATGGCCTGGTTAGGTCCTTGTCCCCACTGAGGGGAGCTTCTCCTTCCCCAGAACGGAGGAGGAGGCAAAAGGAGAGGGGGGAGAAACAGAGGGGAGGGGGGGGGGCGGTAAAGAGACAGCAAAGGGAGAAACAGACAGACAGCCTGAGACAGAAACGGAGAGACCAGCACAGTGAGCCAGGAAGAACCGGAGGGGCCAGCAAGAGAGACACAGGCCCTCGCCACGAATTCAGTAACGACTCCTTCCTCAGGTGTTTCTGGGGCGCCTCCGAGGTGCTCCGCCCGGGTCTGCTCTGGACGCGACCGGCGGCAGGGCGCGGCAGTCTCACCCCCACCCCCTCGCGGTCTCCTCCCCACTTCTCCCAAGGGGGCCGGAACGGCTTCGGCGCGCGGGGGCTTTTCGGACCAGTCGAGTGGAAAATAGACTTTAACCCGCTTTGTGGCAACAAGGGCGCCCGGAGCGCTCTCCCCGGCCGAGACTCCGGGCGCTCAGGCAGGCCACTCTCAAGACCTGGCCTGGAGTCCTTGCAGAGCCTCGCGGCACGAGGACCTTCTGGCCTCTGGGCGCCGGGACGCCCTGCCGGGATCCGCGCACCCCGGCCAGGCCGCTCTGACTAAGACGGGCAGCAGCGAGGAAGCAGATCGGCTTCTCGCAGTGCACGGGCAGGGTGCGGGTCCCAGCCTCCCCACCACCGCCTAGTGTCCTCTTAGGCCTGGATGCTGTTTTCCTGCGGCCTGGAAGGCCCTGGTGGAAAAGTTTGCTGAGTACTGGTTCTCCTTCCCAACTGCCCTCTCATCCCCGACGAATCAGTGCACGAAATGGAAACTGGCTGGAGCAGACTAGTCTGCTGCTCCGCGTTCGCGAGTGGAAGGTGAGGGTCGGAGGAAGCCAGGCGGCCGCTACGGTCCCGGGATGGCCTGTGTGTCTTCTTGGAGGGTCTTAGGCGATGGCTGTGGACTGTTCGGCCACCTCCAACGTAAGACAGTGTCTTCAAGGCCCCGGCCTGTCCTGGACCGCCTGCACCTAAGCTCCGCAATCAAAGAAGACGAGGAAAGCAGATGGCACTGCGAGCCGGTCGCGATGCTCGTGGCTGGGCCAAAGACCTGCTTCCAAGCCCGAAGAACTGCAGCTTGAGACGTCTGGGTGACCACTCCGCCAGCTCCTCTAGCGCTTTCCCTGGCCTGGCCTCTTCTGAAAATAACTAGTCCGCTTTCCGAAGCTGTCTCCCTTACCACCCAGAAAACGCGAAACCTCAGGAGCAAGGCCGCGGCTTCAGACTGCGTCCCAGGAGACGGACGATGGGAGGTCCCGAGGGTCCTTGAGGCCAGGGGAACAAGTTCTCAGGAGAATTTATCCGTTGGACCCCAAACACCCACATTGCACTCGAATTCAAGTTATCTGAGAACTGAAACGACATCCCGGGACGAACTGGAGAGGGTTCAACTGATTTGCACACTGGGGAGTGGGGTTGGAGATTCTCCCAAGCCCCAGACCCCTCACCCCTCACACACCTCCTTCAGCTCCGGCCTGGGTGGAGACACTTACGGCTGCCGCCAGACTCAGCTAAAGGGCAGGGATGCGAGAAGACGCGAGAGGAGGAGGAGGCCTAGCTCGCCCCGCGCAAGCTCCAGTCCGGTTTTTGCCTCCGACTGCTGGCTCCTTTCCCTTCCCGCGGTCCCTCGCCCCGCCCCGCCCCGCCCCCCACCTTGGGGCAGGTGAGCGGCGGCCAATGGGCGAGCGCGGGGCAGGTGCCCGCTAACTCTCGCCTAGCAGCGCGGTGGCCGAGGCCGGGCAGGACACTGCTGGGAGGACCGGGGGCGGGGGTCGGTCCTGGCTGGACTCGGAAAGGAAGGGGCCGGGTTCAGTCCCCAGGCGGTAGAGGCAGCTCGCAGCCTCGTTCGGAGCCCGCGCCGGTGCCGGCGCCGGGAGCTGCCCGCTTGGCCGCAGAGGCCGGCGCGCATAGCCTCGCGCCGTGGCCCGACTCCGCGTTCGCTGGCTCTCACGCCCCTCGCCGCACCGCGCCTGGCTTGTGGGCAGGGGCTGAGCGCGGGCGGGCGGGCGGGGGAGGTGAAGGGTGCTGGTGTGTGTGCATGTGCCTGGCTGGGTGCACACCCCGCACGGCGGCGGCGCCAGGACGCGGAGCGCTCCCCAGAGCCCGGGTGCCTCGCTCGGCTCTGGCGGCCGCGACCATGTTCCAGCCCACAGCCAAGCGCGGCTTTACCATCGAGTCTTTGGTAGCCAAGGACGGCGGTACTGGAGGGGGTACTGGCGGCGGGGGCGCAGGCTCCCATCCCCTGGCGGCGGCCGCCTCGGAGGAGCCGCTCCGGCCCACAGCGCTCAATTATCCTCACCCCAGCGCAGCCGAAGCGGCCTTCGTGAGCGGCTTCCCCGCCGCCGCGGGCGCCGGCCGCTCGCTCTACGGCGGTCCCGAGCTCGTATTCCCCGAGGCCATGAACCACCACGCGCTGACCGTGCACCCGGCGCACCAGCTGGGCGCCTCCCCGCTGCAGCCCCCGCACTCCTTCTTCGGCGCCCAGCACCGGGACCCTCTGCACTTCTATCCCTGGGTGCTGCGGAACCGCTTCTTCGGCCACCGCTTTCAGGGTGAGTGCCCACGTTGTGCCCGCCTCGGCGGCCAGCCGGCGCCCGCGCTGCGGAGGCGCGGGGGAGGCTCGGGGGCGTCCGGGGCCATTCAGAAGTTGTGTCAGAAAAGGTTGCGGGTCCACAGAGGCCGATTCCTAAGCAGGGAAGAGCCGCGCCAGATCCATTCGCTCTTCTGCCGCGTTGGGTTCCCTCCCAGAGAACCAGGTTGGGACCTCCAGGTTTTTCCAGGAATGATGCCGGTCCGGACGCCAAGCCCGGGCGCATCCTTGGAGCCTCTCCTGGTCCTCCGTGCGGCCTGCCTTAATGTCTCCAGGCTGAGCCAGTCCCATCCCAGAGAACTCAGCGTCGGCCACCCTCCCTCTGACCCAGCTGGACCTGGGACCATACTACGTTCGCACTTCCACAACCAACTCCCAGGGACCCGCCTTCGCTGGCGCAAGGAGACAGGGGAAAGTCCACCTGCTTGTCCCGATTCTGTGAGGAGAAGGGGCAGAGGGAGGGGAAACTGGAGAGTTAATATTCAGTGTTGAGTGCTCCTCTGTTTGGGGACGTTTCTCAGCAACCTCGGCCCGACTTCTCCAAGTCACACGTGCCTCTCGGACCCAGGGTGGGAAGGTTTGCCAAAGCAAACCGGCTTCCCGCGACGCTCGCGGACTCCGGGAACCTACAGGCTGCTGGGGTACCGACTGCAGTCCTCCCAGGCAGGGGGCGGGGGCAGAGGGCTGTTAAGGTCGTAGGCAGTCTGAGCCCCCTAGTCTGCACTGGGCAATGGGATTGGTAAGGAAGACCCCCCACTTCTCTTCCTCTCTCTCTCTCTCTCTCACACACACACACACACACACACACACAGGTTTCAGTGGTCTGACTTTCTCCAAGCAAAGAGTTCCATTAGTTGGAGTTCGTTTTCTTCTTTGTATTGGTTTTTTCTTTTCTTTTCTTTCTTCTTGCGCCCCCCCTCACTTTTTTTTTGGGGGGGGGGAATGGTCTTAATTTGTGCAGTAATTGGTTTAGTTTTCAGTTTTATTTTGTTAGTGTAGACCAGACCTCAGCCTTACTCAGACCTGACTCAGAACTAGGTAAACTGGCTCTTAGCAAAACAAACGAAAAGGATGTGATTAGAGCTTTGCTCCTGGAGCTAATCTGGTGGTAAACTGGATCTACACAGTCAAAATAAATTGGGTATTTGGTACAATTATCTAGATAACAGAAGAAAATGACCTCTTGAAGCTTTGGCTATAGCTGTTTAACTGTATCATGGAAAGCCGCTTTCCCCACCCCAATTTGTCAGACAATTTTCTAAGTCCCATCTGGCTAATAGATACTGGCCCAGCAGATCCCACAAAATAAGGTAATGTAATTGTTTGAGCAAGAATTTTTGTGGGAAGTCTTGTCTGCTCTGGGGATTTCAAAGATTTGCCCAAATCATCTGTAACAACAACAACAAAATGCCTGTAGTGTCAGCTGCTATGGGAAAGAGGTCTGTCAATTAAAATAAATCTTTACTGATAAAATTAAGTATTATTTTAAATTGAGCAAACCACCTCGGTCCTCCGTGGGCTGGGTCCCCGGTCTCTAAACTTGGCGACTGCAGGACAATTTGAAAGTCGCGGCTGTTTGTGAACCCTCCGGCTGGGGCGGCGGAGGGACCGGCGGTTAGCAGACCCGAGGAGGGACAGGAGCTCAAAGAAGAGGACAGAACCGGTCCTGACCCCTGTGGTTTCTGCTCACTCGGAGATGGCCTCCCCGGCGACGCCCTCGGCTTTAGACCGGGCGCCCCATGCCCTCCGCGCCTCCTTTCCCTCCATTGACCTCGCCGACACCGGCTTTTAGGGTTCGAGGGCCGGGGCACCAAGGGTCGGGAACGCCTTGTAAGAGATCCAGCTCCGGCTCTGAGCATCCCCAGTCAGACGAGGCTGAATAAATCCTCGGCAAAATCCTCTCGGAAATTGACGCCGCTCCCTGAGCCTTCAGCCCCGGCGGGCACGTTGTCTAGTTGCAAAAACGGTTGCATTTTTCTCCCAAGAACTGTGTCTGGACGCGGAGATGGAGCCAAACGTGGTCGCATTTTTGAACAGGAGAATCCGTTGGGCACGGAATGACTTTTTTAATTCTGAGAGGTTTTGGCTTCAGGGCTGGTCAGCGTCAGGGCAGAGGCCTTGCGGCCCGGGGGTCCTTGCGTCCTCGGGGGCCCTCGGGGATATGAGCCGAGTCATTTTAGGCCCTCCGGCGCCGCGTTTTCTAGAGAACCGGGTCTCTGCGATGCTCATTTCATCCCCGTTTCAATGTAAGAAGCGAAACCCTACAGGAACGAAAAGGAAAACGTCTGCGTTCTGTGCGCAGCGCTCTCCAACAGGGAGGTCCCGGCGCGCAGGGTAGCGGCTTCTCCGCGGAGCAAGGCGCTGGGAGAACAGAAATCAGTGCGGAATGGTCGGGACCAGGCGGCGGGACTCCGAAGCCGGAGGCGGCTTTCGAGGCCTGAAGAGGAGGGGCTGGAGGAGACAGCGAGTTAGCCGCACTTCGGGCCTCGGACAGCAGGAACTTTCCCGGCCGGGAAGCTGCGTCGGGAGGGGGCGGTGGAGATTAGGCGGCCCTCGGGACTGGCGGTGGTAATGGGCCGGTGCTTCAAAGGGAGCCTTTGTTCCGGCAGGGGGAGGGGGGAATAGGTTATCTCCGTTCACCGGCGGGCTTCTCCTTCTCGTAGCCCCAGGCCCCTCCGCCTCGCCATCCGGCCCAGAGCCCCCAGCTTGCCACAGCATCTCCAGCAGGCACTGCAGCTTGGGCCTCAGGCCTTCGAATCCCTAGTTCCCAGTTCCTGCCACCTCAGTCCTGGGAACGTCGATTGCTAGTTCCCAGCCATTGCCTTAAAGGAACCTGCAGAGAGAGGCTGGAGGAAAACGGGGCAGAGTGGGGTTCAGTTACTAGCTACAGGGAAGACAGCCAGCCCCTTTCCACTTTTCTACCTTGTCCTTGCCTGAAACTGACAGCCTACTCTCACAGCCCAGAACTACTGTCTCTAAACAGGCCACACCGCAACCCTAGTCCCAGAGCTTGTTCTGCTCTTGTGGTCCAATTAAGGCAGACTGAAGCCAAGGTAGGGACGGTTGAGGTCCCTTCTCCATAGATCAGAGTGAGAGCGGCCCAGGCTCATAGGCACACCCTGGTTCTTACAGAAACATGAAACTATTACTCAATTTCTCAGGATGGTTGATTTTGTACTAAACATATTCTTCCTTACAGGAAAAAACCCTGCTTCTTTTGAAATCATATCTTTTTCATCAGTAATTAGCATCTTGAGTAGTTTTTCCTGGTCTCTGCTTCTTCTTGGTTGGGTCTGGACTTCTATGTTTCTGCACATGCACACACAGATTACAGGATACATGCTATCTGACCCTTTGGGGGGTTACAATGAACTGCTGCTATTCTCTCCCCAGCTGAAGAGGACCCCAAGCATCCTATCTTTCCCCTAAAATAGCCAGACTTGAGCCAAATGGTCCTATGTGTCAGGACACAGAAGCTTGTTTCCATCCTCCACTTTGGGTTTATAAAGATAAACACAGAGAACTCTACCACACAAGTGACCAACACACAGCATGGAATTATAAAACACCCATCAAATCACACACTGAGGCAGGCTGCAGTCCTGCTTTCTCAGCCCCACACTACCCTTCACACTTCTGCATCCCATTCACTCACAAATCGAGGGTGTCTCCACACTGCCACTTCATTTCTGACCAGCCTGGGCCCTGTCAAGTTGCTGAGGCCAAACCCTGTGATCACAGGGGTGTGCTAGGCTTTCTCTCCCTCTCCAGCTCATTTGTCCAGAGAAAACCACTGTTGGTATTTGACTTGAGCTCAGAATGCTATTGTTTTTTGAAGCAATTTATTTTAACATCAACAAGGAGTGTTTGCTTCCCATCCACCTCTCCCACCTTTCTCTGGCCTCATCACACTGGCTCGCACTTGAGGCTGTAGTCCTTTTCCCCACCTGGATCCTTCTCCTCCTTTCTCTCCCTCCTACCCCTCTCTGCCAGACCACCTCCCCTAATCATCTATCCCCTCCATCACCACAAGCTAAACTTTTCCTTCTGTCAGGCCTGAGAATCTGCCCCCACCTTGAAGGACCCAGTGGGCAAGGTGTCCCCCGTCCCCCCCNCCCCCCCCCTGCCACAACCCCTCTATCTTCCTGTGATGTGATCCCATTCACTTTTGTAGCAGCACAGATTCAGTCACTTGGAATGGATAAGGCGACTGGAAGTTAATAGCTTTTCCCTCTCAGGGGACTCTGTCTCCCCGCCCAGGCACTGGCCACTCTTTCCTAGAAAACGCTGTTACCCAGAAAACCCCAGCAATCAAGTTTTCCTACGTAGATGTCCAAAGCCCACAGACTTGGAGGAAATCAGGTCAGGCAGTTTCCACCAGAAGAGGGACATGAACAGTTACCTGGAGGGTTGTAGCAACAGCATCTCAATTATGTGTCCTTGCCTCACTTACAGAGATATTTCCAGAGATGGAAGAGCTCAACTGAATTATCCAAACAATTGTCTTAAGAACAAAACAACAAATCAAATTGAGTCAAACCAGTGGCCATTTCTGAAGAAATTAATTGGATCAGTCAATCTCAACTGCTAACTGTCAAAACATTTCATGAAGTGCTCTGCATTCTTGGTGGGTTGGGGTACTGGTATGCGCCTCTGCATGAGAATCCACGGATGGTGTCAGGGCCTGTTTCCAGTCTTGTTAGCGTGTGCAACCAAGCCAGAGGTGTGTGAGGGCCGAGTGGGGGGATTCCTTGAGACTGGGGCTATGGATGGAAGCTTGTTCCAGCTTTTGTAGTTCCTGACCCTACTACCTCAGCCCTCTTCAGCCCAATGTCAGCCCCTTCTCCTGCATGTAGCAGCTGAGTCCCCATGATGGCCAACATTTGCCAAGGGACTGTTAGACACTCTTTGAAAATCCTGTATGGTAGATAGGAGAAAAACTCAGTAGGGAGGCTGGAGCATATATTTACATAAGCCCATGCAGAAACCAATATATCTATATCTATTAGGGAGAAAGATGACATCTAGTTATTTATACACATGTCTCTTCAGCAGGAGATTATTCAGGGATGAAGCAAGGTCTTTTTCCACCAGAGAGCAGTAAGTCTGCAGGAAGAGGATTTTATCTGAAGACCTGGGGGGAGAGAGGTGGGATGTTGGGAAGAAGTAACCTAACTTGAGACCTCCAGATGCTGTCTGGATTTTGACCTGGCCCCTGGCCTATTTTGGCCACTTGCAAGGCAGAGCCTCCGCCTGTTGGCAGGAATTTTCTATGGGCTAGTAGCCTGAGCATTTAGTTGCAAGGCTGGTTTAAGCAGGTGTGAGGGAGAGTTCCTAAGATACCCTCAGTTCTTGAATCTGCGTTTGGTACGGGGATGCCTGATAGCCAGGTTGGGCCCCTTGCCACTTTCCTGACATCCAGCCCCGTCTCGACCCCTTGTCCACTTTGAGGGAGATGCGACGGGGCATACCAGACAAAGAGAGCTTCCCTTGGCCTCTTAGGGTGCTCAGACACTGGGCGCCTCTCCAGACCCGGCCCGCCTCTTGGGCCAACAGTGATCCGCAGCGCTGCGATTCCGGGCGTCCCCTGACCAGATAGCTCTCAGCCAAGAGGAGATATCCGGGAAAGGAGTGGACTGAAGGGAAAGAGGAGACGTGGGTGTGCGTGTGTCAAGGGTGGGAGAGTGCAGCGGCGCGCTCCGGGGCGTGTGCGAGCGAGGCGCGAGGGCCGAGCTTGGCTGGCTTCGCGGGCGGCCGGGCCGCAGCTCACGGTGCCCTTCTCTCTGTCTGTATCTGCCGTCGGCGACGCGGCCACAGCGAGCGACGTGCCCCAGGACGGGCTGCTTCTGCACGGCCCCTTCGCGCGCAAGCCCAAGCGGATCCGCACGGCCTTCTCGCCCTCGCAGCTGCTGCGGCTGGAGCGTGCCTTCGAGAAGAACCACTACGTGGTGGGCGCCGAGCGGAAGCAGCTGGCCGGCAGCCTCAGCCTCTCCGAGACGCAGGTAATGAATGGTCCAAGCTATGCCCGGGGGCCAGGTGGTGGGCCGGGCGGGTGCCCGAGAGGCCGGCCTCGTCCCGAAGCCCGCCCCGGCTCCCCCCGCCACCCCTGCGGCGCTCCCGCCATGACTGTCTTCCCTCCGACTGCGTACAGCCTCGAAGGGGCCACAGGACTTTTATTAAGTACTAAGGACCTACCCGGAGGCTGGGATCAAACCTTATTCCGACCCGGCTCACACGGCCCACGGGAGGTGCCAGCTGTCAGGAGGCGGCGGGCGCCCTCGGGAGCCGGCCGAGCGCGGAACACCTAGGCCGCGGTCACTCCGCGCCCGCCCGGGCCCTCTGGTGTCGTCTCGGCGCTGCGGTGGCTGCCGCCCTTCTCCCGCCACAGTTCTGGGGGCGCTCGGAGGTGTGTGAGGTTCCCAGGCCTGTCCCGTACTGGCTCCGCTGCCGTGCAGGGGCGACGGGGGCGAAGGCCTCGCGGTGGCGAGAAAGACCACGGGTCCCCGGGCTGTTAAGAGCAGAAGGTTAGCCGGGAGTGCGCGCCCTTGCCCGGGGTCCGAGGCCGGCCCCGGTCTCAGCGCAGGCAGGCTGGCACCGCGCTGAAACGGTGGTGTGTGTGCGCGGGCGTCGGCGGGACCTGGAAACGGTGGGAAAGTAGGTTCTGGTATTCAGGGCCTGTTTTCATCACTTGAAGGGCTGTTGAGTTGGGGAGGGAATAAACTCCGATGGCATTGAAGGGATTTGAACTAGATGAAATTACAATCACCACGTAGTGTTTTTGTAATTGATTAAAAAAAAATTAAAGAACTAGAAGGGAACTATAGGGAGGCAGACTTGTCCTTATTGTAAGTAAAGACTTTGCCATAAATAAATGTTGTCTGGAAGCACTGCTGAGCTCTCGGTCCGCCCGGAGTCCAGCGCGCTGGGGTGTCTGGTTGCTGCCCTGGAGGCAGATTTCTGTAACTGGGTAGGCTTTGCGAGACCTTAACTCCCTCGCGTCCCCGACAGCTTCCAGATTCGCAGAGAGAGGTCGGCTGGCGGCCCAGCGGCTCTCGCCCGCCGCCGGCATTTCATCTTCCGCTCCTTTTTCTGCTCGCCTCTCACACCACCGTCTTCCACCCGATAGAGAGATGGTGCCGGGCTGAGGGCGGGGGTGAGGTGTGTGAGGAGCCTGGGGTCTCCTGGGTAGCAGTGAGACTAGATAGAAGGCTTCATGTGGGCGTCCAAACCCAACCTCGTCCCCAGCCCCGACCTCACTCTTTCCTGCTCACGACGCATGTTGGTGTCTATGTCCTACCCATCTGATGCCTTATTTCATCAATGCATTGCTCCTGTCTCTGCTGCGGGGCCCGGGCTTTTTCAGATTTGCTAGCCGGTCTGTTCTAACTGCAGAGATCAAGCTCACAAAAAAACGGACTTAAATTTTAAAAACGTAAAGAAGGTATTTTTAAAAAACAAGTTAATAAAATAACACCCACTCTTCCCTCTTCGCAAATGTTTTAAAATTTTTGTTTAAAACAAGGTGTCATTTTAGGAATGGTATTTATAGTTACTTTCATTTAAAAAGTATTAGTTATTAAAAGTAATTGCAGAAGTGTAAGAAAACAAAACCATTTATGTCCACGACCCACAGATTAACACTTGTTGAAATAATGTCATTGTTTTTAAACGTCCATCTTTTTAGTTCAGTGAGAGCATTTTTAATTGACCTTCTTTCAACTGAACTTGTCTACCTGTCAATATTTGGACCTAACAATGCCAGTTAGTAAACCTAATGATTGTTTCCTCTCATTTTTATTAGAATGTGCTTAAACATATATTTAAAAGAAAACCAGATAGAAAATAAAATGGATCCAGCTTTGTTAACTATCAAAACTCATGGCTATTCTTGTTGCATGTATAAATGAGCTGGTTTAAGCACATGAAACAAACAAAATAATAGAACTGTGTGATATTTGAGCCTGGGAAACCTCCTTGTAGAATCCTTTCTTTCCAGGTTAGGCCTTTAAGATGTAGAAATGAAGTAGGCAGAACTCCCCAAGCAGGCAAATGGGATTTCAGTATTTGCCTCCCTGCTAACTGTGTGACCTTGGGCCAGTTACTCAACTTCTCTGAGTTCTGGTTTCATCATCCAGAAAATAGGTTTAAGGATCAAAAGATACCTAATTTGAACTCAACTAATATTAATGATCACCCCCAGTACTTCTCTTCCCTTTGTTGAAAGTAATATGTCAAATTATTGTTATAATAAGATCTACACCTGGAATTACTGATTCTTAGTTCAGTCTTTTTCATCAGCAGAGCTGCTTTCTGTCCCTTTTGTAACTATCATTGAGATCTAGGCTATATAATTAACTAATTATCTATCCATCTTGCTGTATTTGCCAGGCAAGCTTACCTGTCAAATCTAACTATCAGCTATTTGTCAAGCTTCAATCATTCCCATCAGCCCCCTGACATCTATTTCTACTGTCAATATCTATATTTGTCTCTCAGAGCTCTCTATTCTGTCCCTAACAGATAGCTACTTTATATCTAGCCATGTACTTCTGTCTACTCTCATTAAATTGCCTCCACAAAGCTGGTTAATTTATATTTCCTGTTTATTATTAATTCTATCTTTTCTCTGAACAATAATTCCTGTTTACCTGACTGTTGATTATCTCTTTATCATCTACTCTGTTTTACCTTCTATATATCTACCATCCACATCAAACTTCCATCTCTATAGATCTTTAGCAGCTGACAGTATATGCATACGTCTATAATGGTTATCATCTCATCAACTCTTGCTTTGTCTTTTTTTCTGGGTCTCAGTTCCTGATCTGTAAGGTTGAATAAAATGAACTCCAGGGTTCTTTCTAGCCCTGAGCATCTGGCTTATCTATATTCTATTTTTCTGTATTTCTGTATAATCCCTCCTCCAGGTTCTCAGAACTCACAGCATATCTCCTGCATATCATAATATATGTAGGATTTTGCTATTGTTTAATAACCTGCCATGCTAAATGTCAGACTATACACTGGTTGCATCCATCTCTCAAAGAAATCTTAAAATACGAATTCCTAGAGCCTGCTCAGGAGGTTCTCAGGAGTTCCAGGCTGAGACCCAGGAAAGTTTATAAAGTAGCTCTCTGGGTGATCCTGATGGACAGTAGGCCTGAGCATCTCAGCTCTGGGAGACAGAGGGCGAGCCTTCCTTCTTCTTGCTGTGCCCCAGGGCCCAGTTCAGTGACCAGCAAGGAGTAGATGTTCCATACACATGTACTGAATGAGTGGGCAGTTTTCTCTTGACCGTATACTTATCCATATGCTAATTTTATCAGTCATTCCCCTCACTCTCTGCCATCACTGTTCCCTTTCTGTCCCTCTGCTCCTGTGATACCCTTGCACTTTCATAGCTGATTGTTGATCAGTCATAGGTGATGGAGTTTTGTTTACCAATTCATGGATAAAACTTCAGGGAGGGTTAAGCATAGTGGTGTGTGGGTCTTAGTTCAGAGTTCAGGGGTATCTGTATGCCCAAAGCTCTAGCATGGGATGCTGTGGGTAGGCAACCCGAGCTTTTTAGTAGTTGGAATAGGGCTTTAAACTGGTTGGGAGTGGACTTAATGGCGTGGGTTAATCCAGGAGGAGGAGGGAGGGGCCGTGGGTAAGGGCTAGTTCTTCCTTCTCGCTCTTTGCTCCTCTCTGCTGTAGTGCAACCCAGCAGTCTGACCAGGGTGAAGCCCATCTAAGACTCAATCCTGGTGGCCGGAGGGGCAGACTCAGGCCTGGGTCAGATTAGACCCTGGAGTTTGAGTGAGCTTGTGTGTGTGTGTGTAATGAGTATATGTAATATATGTATTACATATATTACGGCTGGTGGCTCAGCCGTAAAGAATCCACCTTCAATGCAGGAAACATGGGTTCGATCCCTGAGTCGGGAAGATCCGCTGGAGGAGGGCATGGCATGAAGTAACTGGCCCAAGGTCACACAGTCAGTTAGCAGGGAGGCAAATACTGAAATCCCATTTGCCTGCTTGGGGAGCTCTTCCTAGTTCACTTCTCCACTCCAGTATTCTTGCCTAGAGAATCCCATGGACAGAGGAGCCTGAAGCATTACCGTCCGTAGGACTGCAAAGAGTTGGACGCGACTGAAGCAACTTCGCACACATGCACGAACATATGTGTGCCCATAATGTGGAGGACGTGTGGGCTTAGCGTCATCAGTGCCCAAAGGTCAGGTGCTATCATATGTACACAGGGCATGGAGCGCCTCTGTGAGCTTCTGTGCATGTGTGGGGAGGGGCACATTAGTTTTAGGGGGAGGGAGAGAAAGCATTTGGTTGCTCCCGCTGATGGATTGGTCAGTATTTCTAGCTGTTCCTCCAACTCCAGACAGTTCAGGAGGTGTTTCTTGACCTACCCTGGCTGAGTTTAGCTGAATCGTGAGGGAAAGGGATGCAGAAATGTGGTCTCTTGGCCTTGGAGATTCCTCAGACAGTGGTGGGGCATGCAAGGGGTGAGTGACTGGAGTCCCATTGAAGCCACAACTGTGGACTGAGGAGGTCAGGGGAGAGTTACGTGGGCAGAAAGCTCCTGGAAGACCACAGCCATGGAGACTTGGAGGGATGTCTAGACTGGTAGGAAGAAAGGGGGAGGGTTTAGGATTAAGATGGTGCGGGAGCTATCGAGTGTGGCTACCTTCTTAGGGCCCAAGAGCATGGGTGGGGGGATCTTAGGAGGCAGAAGTGTGTGGTGTGCCTATGGGTTTTCCCCAGAGGGGCATGGTAAGAAGACTTCCCACCTGGAATATCTCCCTCTGGGGGATGGATAAAAGGGAGATATCCAAGAAACTGAAATTTTGGGAAAAGGTAACGGCCCAACGGGGAATCCGAAAAGGAATCAACCCCAACCCAAAGCCTGGCCCCTCCCCAAAAAACTCCGCAACCCCGAAAGGCCAAGAAGCCAAGGGGAAACAAGAAAAGAACGGAAAAAAAAAGGAAGCCGGAAGGGGTCC